TTAGCGAGATTATTCCAAATAGCATTGGATGTTTAGGCGACGATCTCTGCTATGGGAAATAACTCTTTAAAATTAAGAAAATTACAATACAATTTATATTGTTCAATGACAAGTTGTTTTTTTTTTTTACCTAAATACACATATTCCAGTTTTGTATGATATTATCCTCTGAAAATAAAGTAATGTTTGTGCATTACCGATATATGTAATTTCATTGAATAATCCCATGTTGTTTAACGTCCCTCTCAAGAACTTTTTCACTCGTGAAAAGCCATCACTTGCCGGTGAAGAACTACAAATTTTGTCCTATGCTCGGCACTCAGGGCCATTGATCAGTGAGGGCTCTTTTTGGCCAGCACCTACCTCGACACGGGATCTCAGCGTATACGGTTTCATCCGAAGGACCGGTCTTCACGTCCCACAGTGCGGTTAGAACCGGCGACGTACGGATCGACTCCTTACTTCGCGACTTTAGAACATACGCTCTAACCACTGCGCCTCGCGGGCGACAAACATAATTGTAAAGCAGTGCTCTATCACTCTGCAACCCAAACGTCTTTCCAAAAAGATATACGAAGTCTTTTCATAGATACATAATTACATGCATCTACCCTTTTATGTTACAAATGTAATACAGTAATGAATTTAAAAAGCATTGTTAGTATTATGTCATATGTAAAACACTTAGAAATGACTAAAATTACGATCAAGGTAAACTGACAGGTTTTTTAATTGTATGCCTAAGAGAAACGTGATATTCAGGAATCACCACTTCCAGTCCCAACGAAAGGGGAATTTAATTTGTTTTACAATAAATGTGCTCACATTTCTCTCTGGTATAGTAATATCTTCCAATAAAGTAGATATCAGATTCTGGGTATAGAATAACATGTTTATACATTAGTATCATGTACATGGTGGTGTCCTCCACGAATAGTCGTCACTGTTTTATGAGTAGTCGTCACTGGTCTATGGGTAGTTGTCACTGGTCTGTGGGTAAGTGATGTCACTGGTCTGTGTCTGGTCTGTGTGTAAGTGTCACTGGTCTATTGGTAGTCGTCACTAATCTTTCGGTAGTTGTCACTGCCCCATTGCTAATAACTGGATACTTCCATTTACACGTTTGAACATTATTTTTTATGTTTGTTCTCATGTTAAATTGTAAAAATAAGAGATGTGATATATAGAAGGAGAGAGGGAATACCGGTATTTACTTTGTATGTATGATTCATTAGTCTGTAAGCCCAGCATCTCTTATGAAATTTATGCTAAAATTTTCTTTGGTTTTTCTCTTTTTACACAAAATGAGTAAGATCTCTCTCCAATAAATTGTCGAGTTTTGATGACGTACCCAAACTGACTTTTAAACTTTAAAATTTAATTTCTTGCATCTGAATTTATAGAGTCACGTGATTTGAGAATAAATTAATAAATATAATATTCTTTCTTTAATTTACCATAACCCCTTCCATGGCAAAGATTTTAAGCATTTTTAGAAAAATTGATATTAAGATTTCAGTGATTTTTTTCGGGTATTTCTCGTTATTTTTGTATATATCAATGTATATATATTCTGAAAGCAGGTATAGTGTAAACTCTAAAAATGATTATAGAAATAATTATAATTTCAGTTGCCATGGCAACGAAATAAACAGTAATCATGCTGGAATTTCCATTTATTCCAGAATGAGTTTCATTGTGGTTTCCTTCTTAGTTAAATATATTCAAAAGTATTTTATTTTTGTGTTGAAAATTATGAGCATGTACATTTTTGTAAAAGCCAATTTGAAGTGTTTTAGAGAAATAGGGTAGGGTACATTGGGAGGTAATCCCCAGAATTTAGCATTTTCACATATTATGTTTTACCACGGCATTGATTTCGATAATGGCTGAATCGCTTGAAAAGTGCACACAGTTTGACTCTAGCTAGCACAATACTGGTACAACCAATATAAAATTTTTCTGAATAGTATTAATTTTTATCATAATTATTTTCTCTTTCTAATGATGCAAGAATTATTCCAATATTTGCAGTATTAACGAAGTTATGAATGTTTGTTCACACTTTACTCGTTTTTCAAGTCAGATGCGTAGAAATGCCTATATGCCATGGAAGGGTTTTAAAGTGAAAACTGAAATTTAATCAAGTTAGTGATTATGTAAGGATTAAATTTTTCTTAGACATACAGTGTTTCCTCACGTTCCCTTGCGTATCAGTCTGAAATATTACCTAACTAATAAAATCTATTGTATGTTAATTAAATAAAATTATAAACAAATGTATTTCTAACATTATTTATACAGAGTAAAATGACACAAAACTCAATATAGAATTTATATTTATTTATTGTGGCGAGTATTGGCCGTGGCACAATACAAAATTGTGGGACGCCATTTCAATTGGGCGAACCCACCAAATTCAAACATGAACAATGTGTGTTTCTTTTTTTAACCGTCCCGGGTTCGCCGCGGAGGGTCAGCACACATACAAACTGTTCAAATCAATCAATCAATCATTCAATCAATCAATAAGTCATGTCTCAAATTCCAAATATCAAGCATATCAACTTATTTTATCAAATCTTGTATATCATATATCATTAATATCTCAAACTTCATAGATCAACCATCTCAAACTTCAAATCTCAACATTTTTCATATTTCAAACCTGTACGATGTAGTACAGTTCTAAAGTATATATTACTGTCACCAAGAGTAGTTTACACTAGCATTAGCATTTCAAAAAGGTGACAGTTTATTACAAGTTTCACACAAACATTGAGTTATCAGTTGACTTGGTGTGCGCAGAGGCTTCACACTTTATGATTTCTCCTTGAAAAAGTGCCACGACGGTTTCTTTTAGTTCAAAATATCAATCCTATGATCGACTATATGCTACCGATTTGATTTTATAAACGATAGAAAGTTTCACAATTTTGCAACACTATTCAGTATGCATATTGCACAGAGACACTTTAGCGCATGTTTAGCACAATCCTTAAGGCTGGCAATGGACTTGATGTGGGCATCATGTTTTAGATTCTTCACTTTAACTTCTCCTTAGACAGCACCAGGATATTTTTCTATGGGTATAAGGTATTCATCTCGGCAAGCAGATCAAAGATATTTCACTGCAAAATAAAGCAAGAAACCAAGCAGCAGAATATCATTCTTTACTTAGAGAAAATGGGACATTCTAAAAAAAAAAAAAAGGTAGTGGGAGGGCGGGTTTTTAAAGTTACAGAACAACATTTCATGTATTTTATTGCAAGCAATTGTTATGCGTCTTTACCTTCGAAAGGTTCAGGAGAAAGGAATGTGAAGATTAAGCCCGACCTTTTATATACTACACTTGATGTGTCAACCAAACCCAACCCTTAAAAGCCAACGTTCAAATAACAAATACTTGGGACCTATAAACTAGTTTATACGTCCCTTCAAATATACTTTTCTCGTAAAATAAAGGCATCTATTTTGTATACACAAATAGATGCTAGTATTTAAAGCACAGCACAGTCTAAATATTGAGGGAGAATCAATTATATCCTTGTTTGAAATTGACTTTTTCTCTAATTAAAAAAAAAAGATTCATCAACTTACATAAGTAGACAGAAGAATGTAACAGTTTTGATGGCCATTGTTAATGCCTGGAATTTTACAAAATAAAATAGTTTGCGTAAGATGAGACATTGTCGTTATGTGAGGACGTCAAAAACTGCCTTCAAAAGGGTAGTAACTCAAAATCACCAATCGAAGATATGCTTGTTTTTAAATAAACAAGTGCCTACCTAAAATTTGCATATTCTTTTAAGTACTAGTATGGCCTATTTCATGTTTTAATAATAAAATCCTTTGCAGGAAACGTGTGTAATTTAAACATTCATTTTGAAAAAAATGCTATCTATATATATAATGACAAGAAAATAAATAAAACCAATCGACGGACAAAAGCAAGGGAATATATCTAAAGGAAGTTGCAGAGAGAAAAGTAGCAAATCACCCTACAAATTGGAAAAGAGGGCAATCCTTCGAAGGTGGATTTAAATCAGTCAGTAAAGTTAATCCAATTTAAAAAAAGCAAAAGGAATTTAAATGGCCACAGCATTCTAATGGAACACCTGCATTTGGTCTTGATATATCCCAGCTCATTTCATACTCAAGAACAGACCCTGAATAAGATAAAGTTTTAAACCAAGACAAATTTTTAAACACTTCAGAGGTGGGATTAGGCACCATTAGGAGTAAACATCCCCTGTCGGATGGTCACACCGTCATGTGTTCTTTGTCATAATAAACAGAAAAAAATCCGCAGACAATTTATTGTTTCAATAATTTTGCGTTACAATTAATATGAAAAACGTCAGTCAGTATTCAACTGTATTTTGCTGACTAGGTCAATGTATCGACCACAGAACTTGCGATATGATTACGTTTAACGTGACTTTCAATATTTTTGTTTCACCAACATATTTGTCAATAACTTCCCTCGTTTTTAGAAATTGTTCTTACGAAGAGCATGCCTTTATGTATTGAATAAATTAGGAGAAACAAATGCTATATGCAAACCATGAGGTTTGTGGTAACATACTAGGCAAGTATACGGCTGAAAAATTATAAAGTCATCATGTTTATCGTACATTTTTGTTGCTATGAGTTACTACTTTTTCTAGTGAAATATCCATCAAATATGAAACAATCACACACTTTGTGGTATCATTTATTTTACTTTCACTGGAATATTTTCCGTTGACGTATGAATGGAAATCCTTATCGTTAATTAATAAAACGTCGTCGATATACTAGTATCTAAATGTCAAGTTGAAGTTTACAGTAAGTGTCTTCTTCTCACACTATACTCGTCGGTAAAGTTACACTAGGTGAATTTAATCATAGATTAATTACTACAGCAACGAGTCATGTTACAGTCTTAGGGCCTAGTTTACTTAAGTGTTTTTAAAATCTAAATACCTTTTATCATTATATTCTAAATATATGTGTAATTATATTTTTACAAATATAGTTATAAAGTAAACTATATTATTCATTACCAACGAGAAAAAGAAAAGACTAAGGCAAACAATATCAAACGCCTTTCCGACATCGGTCCATGTAATAGATGATTTATCAGATTCTATATCAAGTTTTTCGGATTCTATTTGAACTACTTCGTCAGGTTTTATTGACGGTGTTTGGGTGCAACATAAATAACAACGTGTGAGTCCACGAAGAATCTGCGGAATTCGTATCTCATCGCTCCTGTGATAGAACCTCATTCCAATTACTACTGCTAAAATCATTCCACTTCCAATGATCATATCAACTAATAGTTTATATGTTAGAAGTGATACGTTTGGTTCTGAAGCTTCCGGAAGTTTGTCTTGGATTATAGTAAGAAAAACCGCTACCGCTAGGAGAACCGTGATGCTGAACCCCAGGCGCTCTCCGGACTCAACCGGAAGGAGGAACACAAAAAGTTGAATGAAATTCATGAGAACAATTGGTAGAAGGAGGCCAGCTATGTAGTATGTTGTCCTTCTTGTCATAGATATTGTAAGATGGATAATTTGAACATTGAAAGAATTTGTCTCAACTGTTAAGGAAGTATCTATGACTTCCCATAGTCCGTTTGGGTTATAGAGGTTCATATTAAAATTTGAAGATTCTGTTAGGATTATGACATCGGCAGTATTGTAACCAGGGATGTAATACAATAAAGAACAACTTTGTTTATCAAATGGGTAGTACGTTACATCCGCATCACATGTAGATTCGAACAAATCTGGCGGTCGAAAATCAACCCTTCCGTTATATTTTAATTCACAATCCATATCATCGAGACCAACGCGTTTTAGTGTATGGTACGGATTTAAATTCACAAATTTGGGAACCCATATGTCCCCGAAGAATACTTTTGTGCTGTAGAGGTCATTACCATAGGACGCTGGATTCCAGGCCAATTTTTCGTCTATCCATCTAATTCTGAAAGCACCTACTACTGCAATTTTTCCATCAGTCTCGGAAAATTCTTGGAGTGCCACTAAGTTGAACCCGACAGTTACTTTAACTGGCTGACTTCTGTCAATTCCTGGTCGAATTCTTCTATTATATCCGTTCAACAAAGTATTCTGTAGTGAAATTTCTTGGTTAATAGTGTAGCAATCCACTGCCAGTAAAAACAAGAGAAACCAGATTTTGCCAAGCATTTTTAGACCTTGTATAGTAGTAATTTGTGTCAATGTCTGAATGTTCCAACAATTTGCCACAAGAGCATAAAAAAAATCTATTCAAACGAGTTCGATTCTAAATACAATGACCTAAATAGAAAAAATAAATCCAGAACAATAACGACGGATTTGCGAACTAATTTTATAAATAAAAGGGCACTATACCTTCGAAGTTTAATCCTTTTAAACTAAATGTTTACGTGATGTAGATTACCATAAGACTTCTTTTGTTTTATCTTTCAGCATTGTCGTACACATGTGGTGGTGGTGGTGGTTCCCATATGTGTCGTGGTCACAGCCTCAGTTGTGGTTCCAGGATCATCATCATATGTTTTCAATGAGGCCCCTAATATTTCTGTGTACTTCAGATTACAATGTATAAAGGATCAAAAGGGGGAAAAGATCATCCAAACAAAATTATGATTAGCAATCCTAATACGAATTGTATCTTCTCAAAACAGAACAATTTGTGGATATATGATTATTTTTTGTTGATTTTGGCGTGATTTTGGCGTGTTTTCATGTGTAGGTATGTTTTTTGCATGGAAGCATCTTTGAAGTTAACTATATTGCGTTGTAAATATTTACTTACCTTGGCCATTATTTGCAAACTTTTTTCACTGTTGATTCTTAATTACTAGTGTATCATATGGCTTTGTTAATTCTCTTAGAATGTCAGATCTAAATAAGCTAACAACAGTAAAACTCGAATAAAACTCACAATAACTACTAATAATAGCTAATTCCATTCATATATCAACATGATATACTAAGGATCCCAGTAAGCTTGAGATTAAAGATACCATAAAGTCATATTTTCATATTCGGATGTTTTACTAAAAAAGACGTTTATTGATAACCTAAAAACAAAGTTTCATTTATTTATTGTGATGACTTGAACTTTTCAATCGTCAAGTTCTCTGACTTATGCAGCAATACATACCTATCACCTGCATACGAGGTTTATATCTCCCAGTTGATATACACAAGAACATACTCCAATCAACAATTTCTTAAGACGTTAAAGGGAAACAAGTTGATTAAACAAGAATATCATTACTCTTGTATGAAATCCCCATTTCATAATTTCTTTGATCGAAACAATGACTGTGTCAGCAAATACAATCTATCTTTAAGTCAAATGCTAACTGACGTTTTTCATATATATCATTACGCCATAATTTACACCCTGGATTATGTATGGATTTTTCCATTATTTCCCGACCATAACAAGGAACACACGACGGGTGTGAACGGGCGGCAGGGGATGCTAAGTCCTCCATGATACCTGAAGTTTAGGAAGTCCGTACATGTACTGCTTTGCTTCTGGGGCCAGTTTCACAAAGCTGTCTTATGACTTAGATCTGTCTTAAGACCGAAAATTCTCATAAGATTGCAACATAGCTGTTTCACAAAACTGTCATATCTTATTATAATTTCTATCAAAATCTTAAGACAACTAGATACAAGTCTTAGATCTAAAGTGTAACTGGTGACAGTATATATTTTGGCTAAAAACCTAACGATATTTAAAGATAAACGGTTTTTAGTGATAGAGCAATCCTTTGGACTATATTAGACCAGACGGAGCGATGACCCTCTGCAAAAAATAATTTAATAAATAAACGATAGAAAGCCTAAAATGTACTACTTAAAATGTTTTTCTACTTTATTCATGTCAATGCATTTTTTGTTTGCTTGTGTCCCCTCCCAACTGAAATCGCTACCCCCCCCCCAAATGCTTCTTAAGGCCATGTATGTACATTTATGTAAAATCCGTATCTCTGACATATATAACTTTATTCAAAATTGTTCATTTGAATTCCATACCCCGCAAGAATATCACAATAACTATGACCAAGCATTGATATATGACAAAAGTAAAATCCTGTGTTCGACATTCGTGTAGTTTATTTATTGATAGGGTACATTAATGTCTTTTTAGTAAACAGAAATACGAAGTGCACTGTATATGTATTTCTAGGGATTAGATAAGTCCATGAAAGAAAAGAAAATACTTATATAAACTACACTTCATTTTTAGACCTTTTACTTTATTTTGTTACACTATGTTGTTGTTTTTTTTTTTAGAAATTAGAAAGTAAACATTTCATTCAGTCGTACAAAATTAGATAAAATCAAATAATTTTATGCTCATTAATCTACGGGAATGTGTAATGTGTATGAAAATCATGCTGTAACATTTGATGCTACACATATGTACATGCTTTCTTCCTTCTTTTTTAATAGTACTGAAATTATGAAATTTTGATTGGAAAATGTTTCTTTTTTTTCGTTTCTTTTTTTCGTCTGTTAGCATTGATATTTTGTTGCAGTAGTTGAAGCGTTTTAAAGACACCGACATCGAATTTTATGAACGAACTTTTAACACGATTTGGTGTTTCAAGAGGAATCATTGCTATAATCATTCATTAATTGCAAAGGTTCGGATACCATAGCTTTAATTAAAAAAGCATTTTCAGTTACTACTATTTTTTGAGCAAGAAGACTTTTAAACATTTATATTCAATTATTTTTTTTGATGAAATTAATTCAAATTTAATTTTTTTGACATACACAAACACACCCTGATTACATTAAAGTTGATGCAATAAAATGTTTATGTCTTTTTTCCTAGGGTTTATCTGCAAAAATAAGGAAAGGCATCTAAACTTCGTGCATACATATATTTAACAAAAAATCCCTGTGAAATTGAAGCTTAAGATTTGTCTTAAGATTTCTTATACTTAAGATTGTTTTGTGAAACAGCAGTGACAAATCTTATGATTGTCATAAGTCAGATCTTAAGATGATCGTAAGATCTATCTTAGGACAAATCTTACGATAGCTTTGTGAAACCCAGCCCTGATTTGTATTTTTAAGACTATTTACCTTGAGTACTGTTCTTTCATTATACTAGTACATACAAGAGTAAGTTTTGAAGATATATCTGAAACGCTTCAACTGTGATTACTGTACATGTATTATATGATGTTGAAATGATATATCTTTAGGTGGTGATACTTCTTTACATTGTAATGCTTTGCAGTATTTATCATGCTTTTCTGTTGCTATATGTACTTTCATATAATTTGCTGACTTTCAAGAATTTTGAAGGCTCGTTAATCACAAAAAGCGGGGGTGTTGAGTATTAGAGTCCATGATATTTTTTCTTTGATTTTTTTCAGATTTTATAATAAATATTTTAAAGAAGATGAGCGAAGAAGGCTGCGTGCTGTAGCTTCAAAGGCGGGTGTGACCGGTCGACAGGTGATGCTCACTCCTCCATGGCACCTGGTCTTACCTGTGATGTTTTGGAGGTCCGTGTTTGCTTTGCTCCTATTTTGTTTCATGGACTTTGATATTGAATACTGTTCATAATCTCAATATCCCTCATTAAGTAAGTATTTACGAAAAAAAAAATCAAATTATGTCGGAAAATAAATTATGACAATTATATTCTCTCCCCAAAATCTACAAATATTCTAAAGTAAAAAAAAATAATAATTAGAGTGATATCTTTGGATTTGCCTTTACTTTACACAAACAAGTCCTGAGTACATGTAACTATTTTGTCTGAGTAACTGACACGATGACGACCTTCCAACTAATAACAGGTATCTTTTTTCAATTGTTTTTGTGCTCTGATTATTTGTAAAAGTGGAATTTTGTATCATAAATGTGTACGTTTATTTCCAAGTTTCTATGCGAACGTATGTATTTCTGAGTTAGGTCTAGTCCTTGCACATTGTATTTGATAGGCAATTAATGTTACTGCCAGAAGTGAAGGGAAAACTTCAAGAGCACTGTTCAACAATATATTCAAGAAGTGGTGTGAATCAGATGTGGATACTCAAAAATTTCAAAGAACTTTTGGACAATTTGAAATCACAAGATTTTACCAAAATCAACACCTTAAAAACTTACGACTTTTCAACTTTATACACAACCATTCCCCACGAAAAATTAAAGTCCAGGCTTTTTGATATCATTGACAGCTGCTTTTTCAATAAAAATGGAATTGGAAAAATAAATTTACTTACAAAGTCATTGGTCATTCGCAAAATTATTTTGTCAAAACACATTCTGATTGCACACACAAGTACTCTAAAGTTGACATCAAAAAGATGCTTGGGTGTCTGATTGACAACACCTATGTGGTTTTTGGAGACCAGGTATTCCAACAATCTTTTGGAATTCTAATGGTACCAATTGCGCTCCGTTATTAGCAGACCTATTTTTGTAATCATACGAACCAAGATTTGTGCAAAATCTTATGCAATCTTATGAAAAGAAAAAAAAACACTTGCTGTGGCCTTCAACTCAACATTTAGATATATCGACGACATATTGTCAATGAACAATGGTAATTTCCATTCCTATGTCGATATTATATATCCTGGTGAGCTTGAGATGATAAAAGATACCACAGAGTCTGACACATCTGTTTCAAACTTGGATATTTTACTTTAAAAAGAGTTAATGGTAATCTAACAACCGAGCTCTATGATTAACGTGATGACTTTAACTTTTCTATCGTCAACTTCCCTTATCTATGCAGCAATATACCTTATCACCTGCATACGGCTTTTATACAGTGGAGCCTCATTTATCCGGACGCTTTGGTTCCCAGTCAATTTGTCCAGATATGTGAAGCGTCAGGATACCTATATCACCAGTTAAACAAAACAATATAACATTTAAAAATTCCGTCCCGATGAAAAAGCGTCCGGATACTGAAGCATCCCTATATCTGGGGTCCGGATATCTGAAGGTCCACTGTATATCTCAGTTGATTCGATACCCAAAAGCATGCTCTACGTATGAAAAATTTCTAAAACGAGGTAAATTATTGATAAACAAGTTGATGAAACAAAAATATCAGCAGTCTCGTTTAAAGTCATCATTTCGTTAGTTTTATGCAATATTATACAATATATTATGACCTTCTCAGAAAACACAGTTTATCATTGAGTCAAATGTTGATTGACGTTTCTCATACTAATTGTTAGTCCTTTATTTATACACTGAATTGACAACGGAATTTTTCCATTCTTTCACGATCATGACAAGGAGCACACGGCGAGATTGACCGGTCAGCAGGGGATGCTCACTCCTCCATGGCACCTAATCCCACCTCTGATGTTTTAGAGGTCTGTGTTCGCTCTGCTCCTATTTTGTATTGTATTATGAACTTTGATATTGAATACTGTTCGTTATCTTTATATCCTTTATCGTATATTTTCAAACATACTTCAAAACTATAACTGCGAAGAATGGCAATGTTCTTGTATTAAAGCGATTGAAATGAATGTTAACTTGCCAGAAAACTACAGATAAATAGAAAAACCAAAACAGACATTTCCTTTGTCCAGATTGATTAAAACTATTCACACACAGATAAGAGAGGGTCCTAATAGTTCTGTAAATCTGTGTTACGTGCTAAATTTAATTTAATGAATACATTTGGAAGATAGGAAGCATGATTATTATTAATTTTCCCCAACCAAATAAAATGTAAGAAAGCAGAGAGTGGTAGGAAAAGTGCGAGAAATTTGGGGGAAAAGGAAATCACTGCTAAAAGCAAAAAAAAATGTTGAGATAACGAACAGTATTCGAGCTCAGAAGTCCAATAAACATTACAAAATAGGAGCAGGTCAAATTTTCAATCACTTTGCATAATTGTATAATTTCTTTTGTCCTCTTATTTATTAGTCTTAATTTTTCTTTATGCATCCTTCATTTGCTTGAAATCTTTTTTAACCCCCATCTTCTTTTAAAAGGTTTAATGTAAATAGAAATCTTTACAGGAACTAAGAGTCATTAATATTAACATTATTCGTGTCATTTTTTTCAATTTGTTAATGGTGAAGTGTGAAGAAGTCGTGTTTAGTATTTGTTTATGTGTGTAATTTCATTCATACGTTCATAATAAATGCAAAATTCATAAGAACAATATGTCTTTTTTTTTCTTCGGTTAATGTTTCTTATGTTAGTTTAGTTATACAAATGTTAGTTGAGTTTTACAAGTTTACAATTGGTTGGGCAAAAACTCGTTAGTAGTGAACTGCGCAGCATCAAATCTTCACGTGGATAAGGTTCTGTAGCGTTTAGTGACAAGGCAGCGATTTGGGCCTGCAAATAAGGAGAAAACTGTACCTTTTAAGGTTTATCGATGCTCTGATAAGAGGGATAAACAATAATGACATGAATGTATCTTAATCCTTTATAAATTTGTCAAAGTAAAGTAATTGTTTTGTCAAATTTTGCCCAACAAACTGTTAATAGTATATACTTGTTCGTATTTTACTTCACAAATACATTACTTTTCTAAAATCAGAAGAATTAAAGAAACATTTAACATGAGTGAGCAGAGGGTTTATGGACCTTTTAACAAATGAAATATGACGAGTAATTTCAACTGAGACTTTGTGTACTTTCCTAGCAATCATTTGTTGTAAACTGTACATACTTTCAGTTGTAATATAGTGAACAATCATTTCAAAAAGAGAAAATGCTTTACTAGCAATGTAGTGAACAATAGTTTTCTAAAAGTCATTTTCTTAGAAACTTGATGCCAGAAACGCTTTGGAAGAAACGTTTATTTTGAAGTACAAGTAAACATTTCTTTTGGAAATTAATGCTTTGGACAATTTGCGTAAATGAGTTCTCATGTTTATTCCTTGTGTCAGGAAAACTCACTTGGTACCAGTTATTTGACCCATTGACTTTGACTTTGGAGTTCGACCATTTTTGAATAGCTTTAGGCTGGACTAAAACTTGTGAACAGTCAGTGCTAAGATTGTCTTACTTCAGTGAAGATTTCTTTGTGAGAAGCTATCTTGATTTTCTTGCTAAAAAAAGAAATTGAAAAATATACCTGTATCTTGAGGAAACCAGACTGAGTGTGCACCAGTGGTCTCTCCTCAGGTGGAACAGCGTAAATGTAGCAGGTGTCCGTCTCCTTTAGGGCCAGCATGTGCTATATGTACAAATTAAATAATATGAATGAGAGATTGTTAAATCGATCCGAACCATTTTCTCATCATTTTTTTCTGGAAATGAAACAATTAAAAATCGAAATAGTGCGTAAAAAATCACACTGAAGTACACAGAAATATTCTGTGTTTGATGAACATTTTTCCGAGTTCTCAGCTGTTCTCATTAAAACTAAAAGAACAAATGTCACAAAGAATGCTAAACACTTAAAAAAAACGAAAAAGAAAATCAAAAGTACAAAGATTCGTATGTCCATAATAAATAAATGTATATAGTTCATTTAGCTCATCAATTATTTATGCGTTCTTACTTGGGCATTCATTTATATCCTATGTCTACATCATACCTATAAATTTAATTATAGATCTGAAGATAACAGAATGGATTGCTCGGATACTTTCAAAATAAATTACTCACATAATAATGATCATACGAGAAATACATATTGCCGTATTCTGCCGGTTCGCGGGTTGGGTGAACATGATTGTGATTATGATGTTTCCCCGTAGTCGTCACTGTTCTATGTGTAGTCGTCACTGCTCTATGTGTAGTTGTCACTACCCCACTGTTTATAGCTGGAAACTGAAGTTACATTTAAAACAGAAAATATTTATGTTTGTTTTCATTTTAAGTTGAATAGCTAAAGCAGGTTTTAAAAGAGGTGTTAGCAACTAGGGATGCATGATTCCCTTTGTTCGAATATCCAGCATATTATGTTATTTTGTTTCGAGTAATTGTGCCTTCTTTTCATCAATGAAGAGAGCCTCATGGTGAGTAGGACTGGTTGACAGATGTCCACTCTTCTAAGGCACCTGATCCCACCTCTGGCGTTCTGAGGATCTGCATTTGCCCTTTATCTGAACTCATATAAAAGAATTTGTGGGTTTGATCCTGTTCTTTATTTCCACTTTTTTCCAGAGATTTTTCATATTTGAAATTATTGCAATTGTTACCTGAACAAGAGTTTTAGTGTATTGCAACAATTTCTTTGAATGTCAACTTACTTTGCAAACTTCCTTTGAAAGAGGTAATGATAAAAATCATCAATGAAAATTTAGAAGAAATTACTTTAATTGATATACGATGACGATAACTTTTTTGTAATAATGTGATGAAGGTCATGTGAGAAAAAAAAAGAATCATTTATTTTGGAATCACTTTAAATAATAGTAAATATATTCATATGATAGAATAATTCTCAATCTCTTATTTTTTTTGATCAAGCATTCTAGAAATCTACTACATGTAAGAAACATTACCTTGTAGGTAAACATGAGTTTTTATTTTATAATACTAGGATTTGAATAAAAATTTATCAAAGTGGGAAAAAAGAACTTTTTCAAAAAGATCGATCGGCCAGGAACGGATATTTCATACGCATTCTACCTAATGGTGGAGATATCATATTTAGATCACACCAAAAAAGTTGAATGAATAAATTTCACATTTGATACAATGGTTAAAATGATTAGTCTTTCTCGCTTCTCACTTTGTCTTATATACACATACTGTACACATACAAAAGTGACGACAAGTTCTGCTTACTGATTGCAAATTTTATTTCATCGTATTATATAACAATTTTTTCTAGTCAATACGGTGATTTTGCCACCCTTAGAGTTCAATGTTCCCTTCGCCCTATCGGAAGTTTGTAAACCTTAGGTGGCTCAATCATCGTATTGGCCTCAAAACCAGCAAATATTATATAATCTATCATACATGCTTAACCTCTCTATGATTCTTATCTAGATTTATACTGATCTTCGTAGAGTAAACAGAATTATTAATCCATTAAAAAGTTTGTTCTTTATCATATACATGTGAAATAGCTTACTTTCATCATATCTCACAAATTTTGATTGTCGTGTGGATTTCAGTAACAATTCATTATCATTAAACTATTTACCAAATTTCTATTCAAAGTGGATGCCTTTAAACAGTATAATCTTATAAGTGATTATGTTTGAATTTAACTCCTTGAGACTTTCCGTCTGCCTACTACGGTGTATATATATATAGGTTATAATCGTGCGCGCACATGTACAATGGTGATCTAAATAAATAACTTAGTGGCCACAATTTGTAAATACATGTGGTAATAAAATTTATGACTGATTTTACATTCTTACAAACTTAAAGCAAATTTTAATCTTAAATATCCTTAAACAGAGAGGATATAGACTTTAATTATTCCATTCACATTCAAAGAAAATAACAGACTCATCAACTTACATAAAGTAGAAAGAGGAATATAGCAGGTTCGATGACCATTATAAATGCTGTCACAAAATGAAATGTTCAGTGAAAGATAAGACATTAGCGTTATGTGAATAGGTCAAGAATTAGTATCCCTCTTTAAATTTAACAAGGAAAGTAATTCTAATTCAATTTCTCATTCACCTATTACATTTACCTTAGTGCCACTTTGCCGAAAATAAGTGTGAATATTGTTTTAATTTTTTGTAATTGCAATTTTAAGTGCTTACAAAAAATAATATACTCCTTTGAAAGAAGTCGATACCATTATGTACTACACATAATTATACATTTTTACCTAATTTGGTTATAGTTATGATATACTAGAAGTAAAACAAGATGTACTAGATGAAATTAATGTAGCACTAAAAGCAATACTGGGAAGGTTAAAACAGTGATGGAATCAATCACTGAAAAAAAAGAAAAAAATGTTGAAATGATATATATGAAAGTAGGGTGTTGATGATTACTTATATATAAATGAATAGAGAGACCATAGAATAAAAGATAAATGCATTGAATGTTTTAATTAACCTTCTATAAAAATATGTGTATTTTACACAAATATTGTTATGAAGTAAATTATATTATTCAATACCAAAGAGAGAAAGAAAAGAGTTAAACAAACAATATCAAAGGCATTTCCAACATCATTCCATGTCATAGGTATTTCATCTGACTCCATATCCAATTTTTCCGATTTCATTTGAACAACTTCGTCAGGTTCGATTGAGGATTTTGGCTTGCAGCAAAAATAACAACGTGTTAATCCACGAAGAATCCATGGAATCCGTGTATCATCGCTCCTGTGATAAAACCTCATTCCAATCACTACTGCTAAAATCATTCCACATCCGATGATCATATCCACTAACAGTTTATAGGTAAGAAGTGATACGTTTGGCTCTGAAGCTTCCGGAAGTTTGTCTTGGATTATAGTAAGAAAAACCGCTACTGCTAGAAGAACCGTGATGCTAAACCCCAGGCGTTCCCCAGATTCAACCGGAAGGAGGAACACAAAAAGTTGAATGAAATTCATGAGTACTATTGGCAGAAGTAGGCCAGCTATGTAGTAGGTAGTCCTTCTTGTCATGGATATTGTAAGATGGATGACTTGGAAATTTTTAGCCGTTGTTTTTACAGTAAAGGATGTTTCCGTGACTTCCCATAAACCGTTTTCTTCATAGAGTTCCATATGAAACGTTGATGACGCTGCTTCAATATTGATATCTTCAGAATAGTAACCGGGGATGTAATACAATAAGGAACATTTTTGTCTATCAAATGGGTAATACGTCACATCCGCATCACACGTAGATTCATACAGATCTGGCGGATGAAAATCCACCCTTCCATCATCTTGTAATACACAATCCATCTCATCCAGACCAATGCGTTTTAGTTTATCGTATGGATTCAAATTCACAAAGTTTGGAACCCATATGTCCTTCAAGTAAAATTTAGTGCTGTAGAGATCATTTCCATAGGATGCTGGGTCCCAGACCAATCTTTCATCTTTCCAACTAAATCCGAAGGCACCGACAACTGCAATTTTACCATCCGTCTCGGAAAATTCTTTGAGTGTAACTAAATTGAAGCTGGCGACTATGTTAACCGGCGTAGTTCTGTCGGCTCCGGGTCGAATTCTTTTGTTATATCCGTTTAATAAAACTTGATGTAGTAAAGTTTCATTTGCAATCGTGTAGCATTCTACTCCCAGTAAAAGAGAAAGAAACCAGACCTTCCCAAGCATCTTTAGTTTTTGTGCATTTGTAATTTGTGTCAACGTTTCAAGGCTCCATCACTGTGCCACAACAGCATGAAAAGTATTATCAAAAGAATTTGATTCCTGTTTTTAACCTTCGTTGAGATTCCTGTTTTTAACCTTTGTTGAGATTCCTGTTTTTAACCTTTGTTGAGAATTATTGCATAAGAATTAAGACGGATTTGTGATTTGTTTTTTGTAAATAAGGGAACATGATATCATAGACGTATAATCCTTCTAAACAAAATAGTTTCTATGATGTAGATAACAATAAGTACCAGCTGATAAGTACTTCTACTTTTAATCTTTGAAAATAAGTAGTATTCCGCAGACTGAGCAAATCAAAGGTGATTACTGGTCAATAGTAAGCTTTGAATGTTTCTAATAAAATGTTAAATTTCAAAAATTTTAAGGCTTCAGTGTTTCGAAGGACCAATGGCATTTTGCACTCTTGATTTGTACTCAGGAATCTAATCAATGCTAATGTTTTCCCTTGCTGGATAAGGTTTAAAACAACCATGTTGAATTGCTTTCAAAATGCAAATCTATGTAAAAAAAAAAACAAACAAAAAAAAAAAAACAAACATAAGAAAGAATAATAACTATTGAATCATTTTTTTTAATGACGTTCCCTATTATAATTTTTAAAAGTTATGTATTATCTGTGCCTATCATACTCTGATGTGTATTTATTTACGATACCAGTATTATGTAATTTTAAGCGAAAAAGAATTCTTTAAAGAAAATTAAGATCGATCCATTCATTTTCGTTTATTGGATTTATTTGTTTGTTTTTATATCACATACTACATTGATATTTAAAACCCTTTAATGTAAGATGATTAAAGGTTCAGTTATGAAAACAACAGCATTTCATGAGTAGAGGATAAAAAAGATTTAAAGACAATCGGATATATCTAACTTAAAGACATTGAAGCATACACAGTCATTCAGAACTGATCTTTTACATACTATAGCTTTCAAACATTATAACACGCATCCTTCAGACAAACAAACAGACAGTATAATTCTACGTGAAAATGCAGGAAAATACTGATCTGACATAACATCCACATTCTTATTCCAAAATAAAGAAAAATTGAAAATATATATACATTTAATGTAGAAAGAGACTCGAAATGCACAATCTTATCATGTCCCATGTTTCTTTTATTTTAGTAGAAAACAAGAAAAGTAACATGGAAAGAACTCACTTAAACCGACACGTTTTACGAAAAAAGAAAATTTTATTTTGTGTTTTTTTTTTTTTGAATAAAAGAGGGCGAGGTGAATTTATAATAGAGTTACTTTCCACTAAAATCATATTGTTTTACTATATTATAATAATGATAAAACCCATTACTTGTTTGCATATATTTATTTGAGAGAACAAAATTATCAACCTTACAGGTCGTATTAATTTTTTTAGTTTTTTTTTATCAATTTTACTTGCCATGAAAAAAAAATTATGTATGTTTTTTTTTTTCTAGGATAGCTTTTTAAAGGAAGGAGTATTATCAGGGAAAACTGACTGCCAAAAAGTAAAAATTGTTGAGTAAAAGTGTTATGATGTCCCTGCATCCCTCTTACCACCCTCACCCGAAAATATATATTCGCTTATGTTTTTTTCACATGAAAAAAAAGTTATAGTAGTTTAAATACAAATAGCTTTCCAAATCAATTTGTTCAATGTATTTTTAGATCAATGTAAATAAAATCTTTTATTGACCTGGAAACGTGCAGGTCACACGTATTTTTACATAGTTTGATCTCAGCCAATCAGAGAAGAAATTATTACATATAATAATGTAATTTGGAGGGAATGAAGAATTGTCAAGCTCAACAGACCATTGAAACAATGCCAATCAGGAGCAGAACTAATGCTGAAACAACCCGCTTGTTTCTTTAACTCCAATATGCCAGCAAACAAAGAAATTGACAAAAAAATATATAAGAACATGCAGTATTCTTCATCACAAAAGGTCAACTCATTTATTATAACCATCATTCATGTCCACATCTCGTATTTCTTACATTATACATCATATTGCTTCCTAACATTTCAATTATACAACTATTGAATACAGGTAAAATTTCACACCCGTTTTATTTTCGCCCCTTCCGTCCTTAATTGGGCTGGGAGAATTTAAAACGGGTCGAGTTCATACAATCAATATGTATATTTTTTTTTTAAAGTGTGACTGGGCGATTTAAAACGAAATTGTTTGCAAGATTGAAAGGGCGAAAATAAAACGCCTCGAAAATAAACTTGTAAACAGTTTACAGTGCCTAGATATAAAACATATGAAACGTAATTCTTTAACATGTTCTTCGCCCTACACCATCAGTCTTATCTTGCTAGACAATGTCTGATGGTGAATATAAACATGAAGAATGGACCTTTAAACAGACAAAAAATAAAGGAATCCCAGTCTTTTAGCTAGTTTCATTATTTCATAAATATTGGGAATTCAGTGGAAGAAATAACGTAAGCAATGGAAAATATGTGTAAAAAAATGACACTCTTTAGATTAAAATAAAAGTATCGGATAGATGTTAAAATCTCACAGTAATTAGCGATAATTTGCAAAATGAAAACCACACATTCTTCTATCTTTGATAATTCAGCTGTCAAAATAATATATATTTTTCTAAACTTCATAAAAACCCCTAAAACAAACCTTATAACAAAAATATTATTGTTTGCAGCTAATTGTAAAGTTTCACTTACGTCACGATCTTTTTCCTCAGATGCATCCAGCTAAAATGTTAACAGCAGTGAAGAAGAAATTTCACTAGTACTGATCAATATTTTTGAGAAGACCTGGTGTAAATCAGATTTGAATACCAAACGCTCGAAGAAAATTTGAAATTACGAAATTTTACTAAATTCAATGAAACCAAAATACTCGACATTTCAAAATGTTACACAACCGTTCCCTCGAAAAATTAAATTACAGGAATTTTCACAACATAAAAAGCTTTCTTTCTTTAAAAATGGAAGTCGTTAATTAACTTGATTTGTATTTAGTCATTCGCAAAATAATTCGAATTAACGCTACTCACTCCTTTTGATATAGATTCTATATATTAGATAAATTTGAAATAAAATATATTAGAATTCAATTTACCAAAATAAGACGTTCAAATATACACAACCAAGCACTGTGATAAAATAAAAGCAGGAAACAAACGTGTTTTTTTTCTTTAAAATGGAAGTCGCTAATTAACTCAATTTCTCATTAGTCATTCGCAAAATAATTTGAATTATTACTACTCACTCCTATTGATATGTCTATATAAAAGGCGACTAAAATATGGGGCGGTATTTTACTAGAATAAGACGTTCATGGTAATATAACAACCAAGCACTGTGATAAACGTAAAAGCTGTGAAACAAACGTGTTGATTTTATCTTTTCAAAAGTCAACTAACATTTGTACTTTACTTATGCAGCAGTAAACCTTTATCACCTGCATACGAGATAAACATCCCTCAGTTGTTTCAATATTGCAGCCCTTCACCAGCAATAATTTCTAAAACTTGGTATTCTATATTATTGACAAACAAGTTGATGGAGAGCAGTCTCGTTTAAATTCATCATTTCATATCTAATCAATACAAATGACCTTGTTTCATGCATTTGATAATTTTACTTATGCAAATAAACCTTTATCACTGGCGTTTTTCATACTTATTGCTAAACCATTATTTATTCACCGAATAAAGGGTTTGACAGGACGGCAGTTGTTTCAATATGCAAGAGCATACTCTACGTATGAATAATTTCTAGAACTTGCTATTACTAAGTTATTGACAAACAAGTTGATGTAACAAGAAAATCTATTTTAAAAAGTTGCAATATTCCATCATAACGAATATAATTGCTCAATCATTGACAAGTAATATATTTATTAGAAGTTACACAATAATATATGGGTGAAGATATAGAATACCATTTGATTTCATGCCTACAAAATAATTTTACAAAGCGCACACAACAATACGCCATATTGTTTGCATTTAATTCAACAAATGTATCATTAAAACAATCAAATGCTGACTGGCGTTCGATTCATTGATTATTGCTAAACCATTATTTATTCACCGAATAAAGACGTCACCGTATGCCGGTGAACGGCTTCAAATTTAGACCTATGCTCGGCACTCCTCCATGAGCATCTTATTTTTTACCGTGAGGGACGTACGTTTTTAAGGTCATGGTCCTGATTCCTACTTTCACTTCTGGATTGCTGAGCGCTTGGCGAAGGAAACTGTATCGTTATCTTCAAATAATTCATGCTTATTCAAACTCTCTTATTACGATCGTTATGATATCTATAGGATTTGAAAATTATTGTATTATTTCAAACTGCCCAAATATCTATTTTAAAAAGTTGCAATATTCCATCATAACGAATATAATTGCTCAATCATTGACAGGTAATGTATTTATTAGAAGTTACACAATAATATACAATGTATTGGGTAAAGATATAGAATACCATTTGATCTGTCGTGCTCAATACAAAATAAAGCTCTTATAATACAAAGCGCACACAACAATACGCCATATTGTTATGCATTTAATTCAACAAATATCAGGTAGTCCAAAGCTTTTCAAAAACGAAAATGACCGTTATAATTCATTTCTGAATTCCTCTAGTGAGGAACTTAATTATATCCCCTGCTAAAATAATAGGAGGGTATGTAGTGATCAGGATGTCCGTCCTTCTATCCGTCTGTTACACTTTGGGTCCGCAACTCTTCTTGTATTACTGATTGAATATATGGAGATAACGAACAGTATTCAAGCTCAAAAGTCCATAAAACAAAACAAAATGGGGGCAGAGCAAATACGGGTCTCCAAAACATCAGAGGTGGGATCAGGTGCCAGGGAGGAGTGAGAATCCACTGCTGACCAGTGCTCCTTGTCATGATCGGAAAATAATGGGAAAATCTATCGTCAATTCAGTGTGTATATAATATACTAACAATTAGTATGAAAAACGTCTGTCAGAATTTGACCCAATGATAAATTGTATTTGCTGACAAGGTCATTGCATCGACCATAGAACTTACGAAATGATGACTTAAAACGAAACTGCTGATATTCTTGTTTCATCTTGAATGGAATTTAATGAAACCTTCACGGAATCTTCATTACATAGTGCCATTGTGACCTCTCACTTTACTTTTTGATCTGACAAATATTTTGGATTTCCCAAATCAAAACATGGACATTGCCGTTCTTTCTGTATAGAAATGAAGGGTATCTATATTTCATCCACAACTATCTATACCATTGAATAAATTTAATGGTACTTTCACACATTCTTTATTACAAACCGGAATTGCCATCGTGCACCTCCTACAATATACCTTTTTGACACTTATTTTATTCAGTGAGCTCAATGCTCACAGTTCTTCTAGCTTTTAATTACAAATTTTGAACTTGTTGCAAAAGATTTGTCATTTTGTAGCAGAAACAACTTTTTGATTTGTGATTAAAAAAATCAATCTCTCCAGATCAATTATCTTATAAGCTATCGTTATTATCATTATTATTATTATTTTAAGATTTCATCAATGCTCTCAAAAGAAAAGTACATATTGGCGTAGTATTTTTTAGAGAATTAAACAGATTTTACTAATTTTCTAGTTTAGAAGCAAAACCATTCATCTTTGAAAATAGATATACCGATACACAATTATAAAATATAGTGAAAAGAATGTCATTAATTCAATATATCCCACTGAATAAGGAAAAGACCCACTGAGTCTGACAAAACTGATACATATAAATGTATAGATGTTTTACAGGAAAAATATGTTTACAAACTACATGTATGACTAGTCCTAAACTTTATGATACACTGTACGTGAAATTCTTCAACTTTTCTATCGACAATTTCTTTGATTAAGCAATAAGATTATAACATTATCATCCGTACATGGGATTGATTTCTCCCTGTTCATATGATACCCTTGTTTACGTACCATCAATTCCTAAACAATACAGACTACTTACAAATAAATTGATAATACAGGGTTTCAACAACTTTGTTTAAAGTCAACATTTCCCAAATTGTATAGTCCGTCATTAAGACTTGTTTGCAAAATACAATCCAAACTATCTCTGAGATGAATTTTGACTGATGTTTTCCATAAAAATTGTTTGGTCATTAATATTTACACTTTAATTTAAATTTACCCGATCATGATAAAGAGAAAATGGTGGGTGTCCCCGGTCGACAAAGGATTACCACTTTTGTAAGGATCCTGATCCCATTCCTGCATTGAGAGGCCCGTGTCTGCTTACCATTTGTTAATATATGATGACTTATTATGAGAAAGAGTGTCTCAAAAATCATAGTACTTGATAACAAAGACACATGATTGATGAACACTTGTTTAATGAAAACGATACTGACTTCTGACTAGTAGAGGTAGCAAACAAAAGGAGAGACTGCATGAGCAGATTGTCTGTATCAATAAAGACTACATTAAAAAGGTTATCCAAAACATCAACCAAAAAAGTAAATCTTATATCTCTGAGGCAGATGTTCTACTTAAACGTTTTTTTTTTTTTAATTCAACGAATTAAAAGAAATCATTCAAGTTTTTGATACTTTTTGCAGTTCTATTTGTAACATTTCAAAAAATATTCTTCGAAAGTACTTTTACACAAATATTATTATGAAGTAAACAATATTATTCATCACCAATGACAGAAAGAAGAGAGGTAAGCAAACTCTATCAAATGCTTTCCCGACATCATTCCACGTTATAGATACTCCATCAGAACCCCTGCTTGGTTTTTCAGATTTTATGTCAACAACTTCGTCAGGATTGACTGACTGCTTTGAGTTAATTGGAGTACAACATCCATAAAAACAACGTGTAAATCCACGAAGAATCCAAGGAACCCGTATGTCATCGCTCCTGTGGTAGAACCTCATTCCGATCACAACAGCTAAAATCATCCCGCATCCAATGATCATGTCCACCAATAGTTTATAGGTAAGGACTGATACGTTTGGTTCTGAAGCTTCCGGAAGTTTCTCCTGAATGATAGTAAGAAAAACCGCTACCGCTAGGAGAACCGTGATGCTAAATCCCACGCGCTCTCCAGATTCAACCGGAAGGAGGAACACAAAAAGTTGAATGAAATTCATAAGCACTATTGGCAAAAGAAGACCAGCGACATAATAAGTCGTGCGCCTGGTCATTGATATTGTGAGATCGATAAGTTGAAAATTCTTTGCACTTGTTTTTACAGAAAAGGAAGTTTCTAATACCTGCCAGAGTCCATTCTTTTCGTAGAGGTCCATATCAAGGGTTGATGATGCCGCTGTGATGTTCATATCGCTAATGTAGTACCCAGGAATGTAATACAATAAGGAACATTTTTGTTTATCAAATGGGTAATACGTCACATCGGCATCGCACGTAGATTCATACAAATCTGGCGGAATAAAAGTAACTTGACCAGTTTCGGTTAGTGTACAATACATTTCATCGAGACCAACGCGTTTTAGCTCATTGTATGGATTCATATTCACAAACTGTGGAACCCATATGTCTTGGAAATACATAATAGTGTTGTGGAGGTCGCCTCCGTAGGTTGCTGGGTCCCAAATCAATCTCTCGTCTTCCCAATTAAATCGAAATGCACCGACAACTGCAATTTTCCCCTCACTCTCAGAAAATTCCTTAATTGCTGTCAGAGTGAAACTAGCATCTAGATTTACTGGCTTAGTTCTGTCAGCTCCTGGTCGAATTCTTTTGTTATAACCGTTCAACAAATTTTGATGTAGCAAAGTTTCTTCGGCAATAGTGTAACATTCTATTCCCAATAAAAGCGATAGAAACGAGATTTTGCCGAGCATCTTTCTTTTTTTGTTTTACTCCGTTTGCATTTGTAATTCGTGATTACAAATGTCATATAATGCGTTTTGTCGCCACGGCGTAAAGTCTGGTTTACATGGTATGATTCCAGTTAATGACCTTAAGAAACGATTAAATGCACAAAAATTTAAACGCCTTTGTGATCTTATTTTAAAAACAAGAGGGCAAAGCAAACTACATGTATATATGTAACCGTTTTAGTCCATGTTACAGGTTACGTAGTAAAAAATTGACCTACTTTTTCGTCTAATAAAATTGGCATAGTATGGAAAGTTGTGTTCATTATATCACTCTATCTTTCAATCTATTTCTCAAAAAAGTTCAATTATAATTTTGTTTTACTAGTATGTTTAATTTATGTTTATATTTAGAAAAATACTCCATTTCTCATCTGAAATGCGCTTCGAAGAGATTCACTTTTGAGTTCACTTTAGTTTTCTTTTCCATTTTTTTTTTAATTTTGTACATAGCATTCTCATGCACTGAAAGAAAAACCTAGTGAATTTAACTAGTGTGTTTCGTAAAGCGTTGGTCGTGATTAGTAAACTTTCAGTTTACTGGTTAAGATAGTGAGTTGTGGAGCGCTTTAGTGAACGTTACTCATCAATTCTAAATTTACTAATCTTATCTAGTAAATATATATCAATATCTAGTAAAACTACTATTTTTTTTTAAATTTTGTGACATTAACTAGTTATTTTTTTACAGTGCAACTTGTCCATTAAAAGTATGAGAGTTCGGTTTTTAAGCTGACAAACTGAGTACTGATATATCAATAGATGAGAAATTGAATCAAAATGTCTAATCAAATGGTCAAATCCGGAGCAGAGCAAACACAGACCTCCAAAACATCAGAGTTGGGATCAGGCGCCATGGAGGAATGAGCATCTCCGGCCACAACCGTCATGTGCTCCTTGTCATTATAGGAACGATGGGAAAATCCATTAGTTCGGTGTATAAATAATGGCCTAACAATTTGTATTAATAACGTCAGTCAGAATTTTACTTCATGATAATAAGGCCATTGCATCGTCTGAAAAAAACTTGCTTAATGATGACTTCAAATGAGACTGTTGATAACCTTGTTTTATTAACTTGTTTTAATTGTCAATAGCTTATCTCTTTTAGATATCATTCATACGTACAGCATGCTCTTGTGTATCGAATCAAATGAGACACATTAACACCACTAGCAATTGATAGTTTTATATTGCTGTATATATAAGTAAGGGAAGTTGAAGCTGACGATTGAAAAGTTGAAATCATCACGTTTATCATAAATCTTTGTTGTTAGCTTACAATCGATATTTTAGCTATAGTAAATTATCTAAATATAATTCAGATTTTCAAAATCTTTGATATTATACTTTACTTCTCGCTCACTGGGATATATCGAATCGATATATGAATGGAAGTATTAACTGGTTTAAAAACCATAACGTCGTCGATATATCGTATTATCATTATATACCCTCCCACTTTTCAAACAGGGGTATAATAATGGCCGAACAAGACAGAGGGTAGATAATTTTCATATTGCCCCTCAATTGCTTAAAACAATATAATTTCACATCTATATATTTAAACATTTGAATGTTAAAAGGTCTTCTTTTTTCATATTTGGCCCTTCTTAATTCAAGCGTAATCTTCTACGGAATTATTTAGATATTTTAGATAATTATGAATCCACTTGAAAGATCGGGATTTCAAAGTTTGAATTTAGGTAAAATTATAGGCTGTAGAGCTAATATTTAGGTTGATATATCAAATTCTTCTTGGTTAGTACTTATGTACATGCTTTAGATATCCTGTGATCATGTATTTACTTCAAGATTAATAACCTTCAACTACCTTTAATAAAACTAAAAATGTGCTAAAAGCCTCCCATATGGTTATAACTGGTGAAAAAGTCCATGTTTTCCTGTGGCCGGCAAACCCAAAATATGTGTCGGATCAAAAAGTAAAATAGGAGGTGCACAATGGCAATATGTAATAAAGATTCTGTGAAAGTTTCATCAAATTTCATTCAGTGGTATGAGAGTACATAAGAGATGTACGTAATGTTAAAATATCTCCGGAATTAAGCTATATATCTCCCGATTATAAAAAGAAAGTCAGGTCAAACGTGATATCGTAGGAGTCTGGGAGTCCCGTTATTTTCTTTTTTAAGGTCAAGATCTAGTAAATGAAAGGTGCCTACAGATTTTTCAAATTTGAGAAATAAATTCCTTTATTGATGCTTTACAACTTAGGCTTGGCCAAATAAGGCGTTTCGGGGCATAATTTGTAGGTAAACAAGATGAAAAACTGTATTTTAAACAGTCATTTTCAATGAAAAGAAAACCAGTCATGAAAATGGGAGTTTTTTTCATATTCCACAAAGGAAATGTATCCCGATTGCCTACAGTCTCTCAGAAAACGGTAATTAGTATGTTCATGGCCTCTTCTTTAAATCAATCTCAAATTTAATATAGGTATCCGGTTTACTTTTCATATGATTTTCAACTGAATGTCATGAAAATAAACATAATTCTGCTAAAGCCGTAAAGTACGGGAAAAAGAAAGTTGGAATTGATTATGACGTCATAATGGATCTAGAACGAAAAAAAATAAAGTCTAAAGTTATTTACTAGATCTTGACCTTAATTGCAGGTACATATGTATTAATTTTAAAATATCTCCTTAGCCTAAATCTGATTAAACGTCAAAGTAGGATTAAATGTCATGAGGAGAAGTTAAAGACATTCGAGATTAAAAGATTCTGGGATTATCAGGTACACAATATACACAAAAATACTTTCATTTAGAACTTTGCAACATAATCCCTCCTTCATTACTACTCATGTCACAATTAAACACTGTATTAACATCTTGCAAAAACTGTATAATTTAAGGATAAAAGATCAAATTGATACACAGTGTACCAAGAAATTATTGAGATTTCTTTTCGTTGATTTTTTTTTTCTTCCAAATAACTTTTAAAAATCTAATTTTATATAGTTTTAAATCTGTTCATCATCAAATGACAATACTAGCTACTTTCTTATTATACCTCCCCGCTTGAAAAGGAGGATATACATGTATTGTGATCGGGATGTTCGTCCGTCTGTTACCCTTTGGGGTACTCATCTCTTATCCGCAACTCATTTCATACCACTGAATGAAATTTAAAGAGACTTTCACAGAATCTTTGTTACATAGTGCCATTGTGCACCTTCTATTTTACTTTTGATCGGACATATTTTGGGGGTTTCCATCTAGCAAAACATGGACACAACCATTTTTTCCCGTAATATTAAAGGGTATCCATCTCTTATCCGCAACTCATCCTATATCAATGAATAAAGTTTAATGATACTTTCACAGATTCTTTATTGCATAATGCCATTACGACCTCCTAATCTGACACTTATTTCGGGTCTTCCAGAGCAAAACATGGACTTTACCAGTATAATCATATGCAGAGTACCTCAGTTTAATGTGCAGTTTTCGTGAATAGAGTCTCATTAAATTTCATTCAGTGGTACCTATGTAAGAGGAGTTGCGGATAAGAGATGGATATTCCAAATCAAGCGTAAAAGACGTACGGACATCCCGATCACTATATATCCTCCCACTTTTCAAGCGGGGGATAATTACTATCAAACTGGACTCACTAAGTAAGGGGTTGTGGTGTTAGGGGGAGGGGGCTCTATATAGATCCTTTAGTGAAGCTGTATGATATCTATGTGTATAAGAGTATAATAGAAAGTGCTTTTTTTATATAAAAGTTTTCATATACATTTTGCAGAAAAAGACTATACATACATAGATATGATGAACAAAATGGCCTTTTTCCAAAATTGTGAATATTTTGGCTCCAGGATCAGGGTTGTGGTGTTAAGTCATGTATATTTAGTAAAAATACCGTATATCTTTTTTTTTTTTTTGGAAGAAATTCTCTTCCTCTGGTCATTTACATGTACAATGTGGCATACAAACTAAGTGCACGATAATGATGAGAAAGAATGCTTTTTACTAAAATTGTAAATTAAAAGTCCCAGAGACATGGGTGCTGGAATTAGGATGGGGCTCTATTAATGTCACGTTGTTTAAAAAATATTCTTTGCTCCGAATATTTAGCTCAGTCAATTGCATGATTATAATAAGGAAGTATTTCTTTCAAATTAAATTCTGAAATTAATAGTCCCCGGATTAAGAGTTAAGACCGGGTTTTATTATTGTCGTTTACGTGTATATTTACTCTGTTTTTCCCTCATGGAAAATATTTCTCTTATTATTTACTTTTGATGATTTATCAATGTAAATAATAAAACTGAAAGTATATTTTATAACGGTGGGTCAAAATATGGTTTTCTTTAATTTTCTTTTATTATTATTATTTTTTTTTTGTTTTGAAAACACATTTTATTCATTTATTGATTTCATACATGAGATTCTTTGAGATTCATTCTATGGTCATTATACCCCGCTTGAAAAGTGGGAGGATATGTAGTGATCGGGATGTCCGTCCGTGGGGTGTCCACCTCTTATCCGCAAATCCTCCTTTACCACTGCATGAATGGAATTTAATGAGGCTTTCTCAGAATCTTTGTTACATAATGCAATTGTGCACCACCTATTTTACTTTTTGATCTGACATATACTGATGTTTTGTGTTTCACATAGCAAAACATGGACATTGCAATTCTTTTTATGATTTTGAAGGGTATCCTTCTGTTATCTGCAACTCCTCTACTGAATAAAAATCATCGATACTCCCACAGATTCTTTATTACATAATGCCGTTGTGTACCCCCTATTTTACTTTTTGATATGACGCGTATTTTGGGTCTCCCAGAGCAAAACATTGACTTATCCATTATAACTATATGGGAGGCTTTTTTTTTTTTTCAAGTGAGATCATTGCTCACAGTCCTCTAGTTATTACTATTTTAAATAATTCTATATTACTTTAATAAAATACGAAGAGACACGTGCAATCGATTAGATATTTTTTTAAATCCATAGTATACCATGGTTCATAATTTATAAGCGAATCAAGTATCTGTGGAAAGAGACCATGAAAATTTCTGAATTTTTGTCAGATTGATTGATTACCTAGATGCGCACGATTAATCACCATTGTTTATGCATGTAAGTCTGATGTCTGCGATCTTGTTTTCTTTCTTAAAAGATCTTTTTCTTTATTTTTTTTTCAAAGATGTACCGTATATCTGAAAAACCAACTGTTATAATAATTTAGTTTTTACCCATCTGTGTTGTGAAGTTCGAATTCATACCTATAAATAAATACTTCCTTTTCAAGAGAGAGAGAGAGAGTGAGAGAGAGAGAGAGAGTGAGAAGTTTCAAATAATTAATTTGTAGTATATGAGATAAACAAAGTACAAAAATTGCACATCATTAGAATTAATTTTATATACATATGCAGGGACCTATATACTAACAGTATACGTCCCTGACATATGTATGTATTTAATATAAGTTTAATTATTTCAAACTTTTTTTTTGAGATAAGTTATAAACTTGTACATGTAATTACAAAAGCACATTTTACGAAGCTAAGACATGCATACTGCTTAGATCTGTTTTAAAAAAACATACAAATTTATAAAAATAACAATTTTCACTGATAATGCATGACAACTTATTTTTAATTGCAATAAAGATATAACATCCATTGCATTTCTGATGATTATGACTTCTTTTTCCAACCATGGAGCCAATTTTAGAGTTATCTTTCTTGATGGATGACGTCATTTTCACTTCGCGGGACGCCATTTTGTTCCTTGGCAAGCAAGTAAGTAAAGAAAACTCTACTTACAAAGTTATTTATTGACAAATTTGCCAATTTGTTAGTGTTATAAAATAAATTGATTGTTTTCTTGAGAAAAAACAAACAGTCCCGCACCTTATCTCAATGTGAAAGAAGAGTGGATGCTAGCATTCAGCCCGAAGACCATTCCGGGCAAAATAATGTAATTTGCATACGACAGGCACGCACTTCATGATCCATGTAAAAGATGAAAAGCATGGTTTACACGACCACCTATGTTATAACATTGCCATGTTTTATTGTAAGAGTACACAATGAACAATATATTTTCAGTCAGTTCAGCTATTGCCCATACTCCTACACAGTCAACATTACACAGCTAGGTCTATATGTAAGAAACGCAAACTTTCGAAAACAAGTGTAGGCCTACATGTCCCTCTTGTTTTGCCATCAACTAGTGCATTCTAGAAAGAGGCAAATATGGGCCGTATATATACATGTACAGTCAGTCTCTGATGTGTTCATATATGCCATGTTACAAAAGTCTTCATCTGATAATCTTACACATGTAATGAAGGGTGCGTCGATTTACCCAAATGGACCCAAATGGAACCCAAATGGACCCAAATGGAAACAAATGGACCCAAATGGAACCCAAATGGACCCAAATGGAAACTCAAATGGACCCAAATGGAAATCAAATGGACCCAAATGGAATATAAAATATATCTATACAGTGTATTATCGTATTCTCAAATGTTTACTTATTTAAAATATTGCAAATAATGAACTTAATAAAAGGGGAACATTTTAATAATTATTTTCTTATATTGTATTTAAAAAACAAAATTCGATTTTTTTTCCCATTTGTAATAACTTTTGCACATAATTGAATACAAAACTGGAGTAAATAGTGTCCATGTCAGTCAGAACAAAGTGGAGAGGGGGGTGGGGGACTGAGAGGCCAACCCCCACCCTCCTGATTTTGCCGGTACATATAAAATGATATAAAAAATAATTTAATTTCATGTCTCAAAATACAATGTTAGAAATAATTTATTATTTAAAACTCAATTTTAACTGTAAGATCATTTATTTTTATCATTTTATATAAGTAATAAAATACGATAATACATATTTAATATTCCATTTGATTTCCATTTGGGTCCATTTGTGTTTCCATTTGGGTCCATTTGTTTCCATTTGGGTCCATTTGGGTTCCATTTGGGTCCATTTGGGTCCATTTGGGTAAATCGACGTGCCGTGTAATGAAAGCTAGCTACCTGATTAATCATGCATGCAGAAAATTAGTTTTATATGAGTTTAACTCCCTTTCCTCAAGATCTAGGAAAACATTTCTTCCATATCTTAATGCCATGTTAATATTAAATCACAGTAACACTTGTATACTTCTCATAGGGTGCGTTCACAGTTCTGCCGTTGGTAGACAAAAGTTGCCGTTGGTAAAATTAATTACCATTGGCATGCCACTGGTACCAATGTTTTTTGCCAATGGTATATTTTTCTGCAGACAGTCTAGAGTGTGGTTAGTGTTGGTAAATGACGTCACAGCTAGTTATCGACATGGCAACAAGCTAGAAAGACTGGGATCCCGGATTTACAATGATATAAACGATTTTTCCTCTAATCCTTATTAACAAATCATGCCAAAATCACATAAAAATCATATCAAACACTTATATTCATGATTTTGAAGTATGATTTAGACATGATCCATTAAATGGATTATATAAAACTCATAGATATGGCAACTAAAGAAGTGTGATCATAATGTGGTTTGTTTGTCGGATATGAGTCTGCTATGATTTTCTTGCGATTCTGGCATGTGCTAGTAACTTAGAAGACAAAGAAATCTGTAATTCAGTATTACCAATGTCTCCATTGGACTCCCATTGGTAACATTGGTAAAATTGTTACATTTGTATGCCAATACCCGTTCAGGGTTTATTGGTACAGTTGGTACCATTGTCAAATTATTGTACCAATGGTATATTGAAAGTTGGTACTAATGGTAGAACTGTGAACGCACCCATAGTCTGTCAGGCCCATAGTAAGCAATATCAGTTTTGGGGGAGCACAGCCATATATTTTCAGTTGGGGGAAGGGGAGGGGGACAAAATCAACTACCAAAAATTCCTTGACATTAGATAAGCCAAAAAAAGTTTCCCTGAAATAAAAAAAAATGGTGAAAGACAGAAAAAAGTTTATTTCACATGCATGGTCAAAAACAGGGACAATCAAACAACTTGTTCTGTAGCAGGAAATCTTTGGTGTACTTTGAAGAATAGGATTTTACATTCCATTTATAGTAATTAGGATTTGTAATTCTAGAATGGAAGATGATCTCACAGAGGGTAAGATAGGGAATTTTGAGGGAGGAACAATCACCCTAAATTTGGAAGATGCCACTCAGTTGATCCTCCAGCAGCAGGGGTTACAGGGGGGAGGCCTGCCCCCAGGGACCTACCAGATCCTGACCCAGGACGGAATTCAGATCTCCGACAATTCCCTGACTATCACAGATGATGGCCTGGCACAGATACTGGGTAAAATTCTGATACTGATTTTTTAAAGTAAAAAATTGTGAAAATGAATTGTTTTTATTGGTTAAAAAAAGTTTTACTGTTTTATTTTCTTCATTGAAATGTAATGTGGATATTTTGAATGTTAAGTACATGTTCTTTATTTATCTAAAAGATTACATGAAGGATAATTAACAATGATACGTATCAACATATTTTACAGTTGTATATATTAACAAGTATCCATGCACAGAGTGAATGAGTGAGGATGGGAAAAAAGGCAGTTGAAGTGAAAAATATTTTCATCAATTATGAAATATCATCACATTATATTTTTTAAAGCAGTAATTAAAATCTCCTTCTTTATCCTCTAGGTGTTGAAGGATCACAAGATCTCGGTGAGCAGTCAGCAACAAACAGTGTAGGGGAGGTAACTGGAGCTAATGTTTTGGACACTACAGCTATACATAATGGATCAGGGGAAGTAAGTGAGGCTCATGAAGACAGTGTAGTTCTAGAAGAAAACTCATCAACAGCCACAGGAGGAGAAAACTCTCTGCAACAAAATAAAACAGCTACTGGAGACAAGGGAGAAAATGAAAAGGAGAATACTGAACAACAAAAAGTGGGTTTATATGACAAACACCTAAAACAGGCTTCTTATTTTAGAAAATCAAAAAGATTTATTTCTCAATTTAAAATTGATTTATTCAATTTATTTCCTTACAATACAGGTTAAAGAAAAGCATAATGATAATATCCATTGAGATTTTTAGAAGATATCTCAGCACCAGCTTAATTGTTTAAAAGAGGCATGTGTAGATTAATTTTGTTCATTAACATTTTCCACATACAGGTTTCTATGTTATTATCTGTATGAAATTTTGTATAATTATAGACACTTAGTGTAATTTCCTGGGAAACAAAAGATTTCACCACTCCAAAAAGCTCAGAAAAAGTCCAGGAAAATACATCACAGATTTTACTGGAAAATATCAAGAAATCAGAAGGTTTGTTAAATATTTGCTTGGAAATAGTAGTATTTGAATTTTAGTGGTGTTTGAAAATATATAGATCTTTGAATTTTGGACTGTGCTTTGTGGACATAATTCATTTTCACAAGATTTTCTAGAGCATTAGAAAAGAGACATAAAAAGCTTTATGCAATCTTTTTATGAAAATATGAAACAATATGTTGTTCTTGTCCTGGTTTTACCTGAATTTATGGAGTGCACAGATTGCAAACTTTAAAAGTTTCAGAAGATTCAGAAGTTTCCACTATTCTTTCTGACACAGCAGGTTTAATTTCTTTTCCTACATTATAAGTATTGCACACAAAGCTTAGCTCCTTTTTGTATAGATCTGGAAAATTTGGAGTTTTTCGTATACATTATTGGTACTCTTAAACACTCTTATGATGAAGTGCCAGAGACGAACAACATTGCTTCATTATAAAAGTACATTGTAACATCCATTAAGTCCATAATCAATTATAAAGACATGAGGAATGAAAAATACTTCACTGGAAATGTCAATTCATCGTTAATTTTTTTATTCAAAGAAAGTTTTACTGTATCGTTAAAATAAAAATAATGTTGAAGAGCAGTAATCGAATATGACCATTAAGAAATGAAAAATGATGTGTATTTCAGATTCAGCTGAAGATTCAGAAGTTTCCACTATTCAGCCAGCCACAGGTTCCACCATTTGTTCTAATCAGCCAATCAAAGATCTCCATGTCATCATAGAACAAGAGGCTCCGCCCACCCCTGACACACCCACTTCTGGCGCATCACTGGATCTCTCCAAACCTATTGAAGTGACCAATGAGACGATTGTTATCATTGATGGGAAGAAGTGTGTCCTGTCAGCAAATCCAGACACAGGACAGCTCTGTGCCTACCCAGTGTTACCCTCAGAAGGTAGAGGAATATCATATTTGCTGATGATGGTGGCCTTATGGTTAAGGCACATGTAGCTTTCTCTTACTAGATATGAGTATGGGACTCATCAATATATGCTCCCAATACATGCAATCCCAAGTCAGGATTACCTTGCTGTGAACTTCTAGCATGCTGAAGTATATGCAGCTTAGTTAGCAAACAAAACTGAATTTGGAAAAGAAATATGCAAGCATAAATTTAAGTATGTTAAATAAATTTCTCTCAGAGATTATTTGCTGCTGGAATTACAATAATACAATTTTCTTTTTTTAAGTAATTGGGAATTTTATTTCCAGGCAACACGGAAATTTCACCTTTCTTGTCAACATGTTTTGGACATATAAATATCAATATCTGTGATTTTACATGTATTTACTTGTTTATCTTGATTATGAATTGCATTGCTTGGATTACAGGGAAAAGAAAGCGTGGAAGACCCCCAAATTCCTCTCGGAGAAATGTAGGAATGATACCATCGGCAAAGAAGGCAAAGAAACGAGACCCAGTGTTAATGGAGACTTTCATGGAACAGACTAATGCTGCAGAGGGGCTCTTAGAATTATCAAATACAGGTGATTTATTTAAACTCTGCAGTCAAAAACAAAAGCAACTTATTATTAAAGATGGCATCACAGCTTAAGATACTGTGCAATCACTAAATTTCATTTGTGGTTTAATTTTCGTTGTTTTTGGACATGAAAATTAAATTCTCATATGCATTACTACTAAATAAACATTCTCCAACCAAGAAATCAAGTCCCCACCAACCAATATTTTTTTTCCTCAAACCTTGAAAATTTGATCCCACAAAAATATGTGATTTTATAGTAACACACCTGTATAGGCTAGTTTATGAAAGTGTAGGAGTATAGCTAATAAATGTTAATGCAGCACAATAATTAAATGATTATTACATGTTCACTGGTCTTCGATGTCATAAACTGATTATAGTATACAGATAATGGTCCGAAACATTGACAGACAGTTTTGTTTTGTTTACAGGCCCAGATGGAGTAAGAAGAAGTGGAAGAAGCCGAAAGAAAGCCAGACTTCTGGATGGTCTGTATTTATGTCCTTCCTCTTAGAATCTAATCAACTTTTAAAAACACAGTATTCACATATTTGGTGCATTCAGTATTATATAAATGTGCTTATTTCTGAATCAAGCTCATGTATAACATTTATTCTATTGTATTGGATGTTTAATATAAGTATAAATATTGCAATCAGTTACCAGATATGATATTTCAAGACTAAAGGTAGAGATAATCATTATATTTGCATGATACTGACTTTCCAGCTCTTTTTGACATGTGTCTGTCTGTTTGTATAGATTACGAGGTGGCGGAGGTCGGCAGTGATGAAGAAGCTGTAAAGGTTAAGGAGGAGAAGGAGGAGGACGCAGAATTCTCCCTCCCTGGAATCAGGAAACTCAAGACAGATCCTAATGAGGTCAACCCTGTCGTCCTGACAACGACCATGACCTCAAAAAACTTCATGTCACCCACTGGAGGTTAGTGAAATATACTTTGATTTATGTGTATGGATTTATTATATTGGAGCAATGCATGTCCCTGCTTTGTAAAGTTCCTTTTTTCATAAGTTTTATGAATAATACTTACATGTAGTAAAGATCTGCAGCTTCATATTGTCTGTCTTTGCATCAAATATGGTGAACTTTTAACGAAGTGCTAAATTTAATTGTAAAAATCACATATTTATTGAAATCTTTTATAGCAGTGAAAAGAGGGAGGGGTCGTCCCAGAAGGTACCCTCCCCCAGGCCAGTCTAGTATCCCCACCCAAATCCCAGCTGTGATTATTCCAGGGGCAAATGGCCCAACAATAATGATGGCACCAGTGCAGGTATAATTATACATGTATATTCAATAAAAGAACATGTGTGAGAGGATACTGAATTTGGTTAAAAAAAAAAAATTAAAATTCAATGCATCTTAAACTGTTAGTGAAAATTGGTGTCTTTGTCTATTTGTATGTATGGAGTTTTAAGTCATACATGTATTTTTTGTAGGGGATTTCAAACATGAACGCTTTGGCAGAGCAGATAAAAACCTTACCCACAATTGTCACAAAAGTGGTGTCACCGGTAGCTCCTAAACCTACCACCAGTAGTATAGTGACAGTCCAAATGGGAGGCAAAGGGACACAGAGCACCCCGGAAATAACTACATCCTCCCCCGTCATACAAACCTCTATAGCGGAACAGAAGCCCGCAGTGACAGTGATGGACACCAGTCTGTCTGTAGACCCGAATCTGTCAACTAGCTCTGTGGGTATGTCCACTAGCTCCAGCATGGTGCTGTCCAATATTGTCACGTCTCAGTCCACCTCTAATGCCGACACTCTGTCCCTCAGCCAGTCCATGTCTGACAACATGCCATCGGAAACCCTGCCCACCGTCACCATGGAGTCCGATGATCTAGACAACAAAGATCAGATTCCTATATCTATGTCTGTGTCAGAAGGTATTATTATATGCATTGTTTGCTTCAGAAATACTTATTAAAGTCTACTTCATTATTAATAGCTATAAATGAAGAGGAAAAACCGTACAGTTTTATTCTGTTGATTATGAGTTCATGATGAGTAGTGTACATTTCTGCATTATTTTGTGTAAAAGTCTAAACATGATTTTAAAGAAATTTTGAGTTTATGAACCTGAGTTTGAGTTGGCAGTCTTGGAGAATTTTTTTCAGATAGTGATCATTGATTCATGTCAAGTCAGGTGAATAAAATGAAATTTGTTTCGAATACAGATGACACTCTGGATTTAGATGAAAGTGTTGATTCCTCAGAACAAATCAGTGATGAAAAGGGAGACAACATCAAGCAAGATCCAGAGGGTAAGTCAGAAGTCAGCATTTAAATCTGACGACAGTTAGAACTATGACCTACAAATAACAGTGTTAAGATTTTTAGATTTCTACCAATGTGAAGATCTATATTGTAGAATTATTTTGCATCATAAAAGAAATTTCTCCTGAACCTCTCAATTTGTTGTGATGTTCTGATTATTATTAATTAATTTCTTAGGATTTATTTTATGTAAGCCTCTCATTTTATTTTTTATTTTGATAAAGATTTGCCCAAAGCAGACATTTTGAAACCTGTGGCTGACCCAGATCAGCAGACGATTATTCGAATTCCAGAAAATCTAATCCAGATGTTTCTACCCAAGAAGGACCCAGTCAAACTGGGTAAGTATAAATACTAGACTGTTCTACATAGCACTCTCTCACATTTCAGGAATCTCAGACTGCAGTTTAGATGTTCCTTTTAGTGAAATTTGATTTCAAAAACGTTAGGATCAAACAGACTAGTGGCCAGTCAAATTTAAATTTAAAAAAAAAATGCAAAAGACGGATTGCCATGGAGTTAACAGGTTTGGTCATGAAGATGCCAGAAGGCATTGATTTCAGTGCAAATTCAGAAGGGAACAACTGTAACACTTTCATGGAAAGTAGCCGGGGGTGTGGTGTGTTACAAGTTTTATGCTAGAACTCTATAATGTCATAAAAAAGCTCTCTCAACCTCAGAACTTAGATTTTTCTAGAAAAGCTTAAGCAAGATTTGTCAGGTTCTTTTGATAAATAATTAAGAATAAATTGAAGACTGTTAATATGTAATAAAATGACATCATTGACATCATTAAAATTTTGCATACAAACAGACAAAAAAATCATTAAAATTTTGCATACACAAAGACAAACAAATATAAAACAGAGAAAGAGAGAGAGAGAGAGAGAGAGATGGAAGGACAGGACAAAAATCTTTGAATACAGGGGACATAAAAAGTAGTTTGCATGTGTGTGTATTTTGAAAATCAGATGCATAATAAGAGTTGTCTTTCTTTTCCCATTTCTTTGTGAACTTCATTGTGACACTAAAAGAAAAAAAAAACTAAAAATAAAAAAAAATAGAAAGTAAACTTTGGAGACTGTAAATATTTTTGGCATTGTGTCATCTTCAGATACTATATTTGTCTAAGGAATGTTCAGACATGAATATCTTTACTTACATGCATTGAAATGATGAATCTTTAGTTCTAGGATGAAAGCTTATGCATAAAAGATTGATGTTGAGATGTCATTCAAAAGAAATTGGCTACTTGTTAATCATTAGCTATTTTTTAGGGGGGTGTCATTATTTCTTATTTTAGATTTTTCTTATATATATGGAACATATGATCTTAGACCTGTTGAAAAGGCAAAGATTTCTCCCATTGAAGAGTTCTTGAAATTTTTCTAGATGTTCCTTGATAGTAATTCATAGGATAATGTACAATGACTTAAAATACAAAAAATATATAAATAGATTTAGTAGAATAATAATATAAAGATAACAGTAAATTTCATTGATAGAATACATGCATGTATGCTTTATGCAATCTTTGCAAATATACAGTCTCAAATTCAACTTGTTTTTAAAAAGGGCAATTAACATAAAATTTATAATGTATATCCATTAATTTTCCTATACATTTAGAGTACATAATTTTAGGTCTCATACAGAATTGATATATGTATTTTTTGTGAGAATAATAGAAGTCACTTTATATGACACTATATCAATGTATAAAAGTTATTTAGTTGTGCCTGCTGTTATCATAAACATTTTACTCCATGAATTTTTTCACATGGGATTTCTGTAACAAGATTTATTTTTCAAAGGAAAACTATGAAAATTGTACTAACTTTATCCCCTACTCTCAAAACAATTGTACATAAATAAACAAAAGTTCATGAAAAAAAACCTCCACATGGAGAGGCCTCCAACGGGGTTTAGTTCACATTTAGAGGTATTTAAGGGGTCCATAGAAAGTAAGCTGTTGTTCATTAAGATGAGAAAAATCTGTGAATGAAATTTAAGATTATTTAGGTTAAGCATCCTTTGAAGAGGTAATCCCCATCACCAGAGCAGTGAACTCAATGTACTGAACATGCATGGATAGAAAATCACAATGAAAACTACTCACTTTACAGTGTAAAGCAAAACAGGCTTGTCTCCCGGCCGAAACAATAAACACATTACTTATCTAAATATACAGACCTTAGGCTAGTGATTTAGCTGGTGGTTTGTGTTATCAATTGTTTTGGTTTTTTTTAATTTTGTAAATTTTGTTGGACCAAATTTTACATTCAAAGTATATGTTCATGTTTACAATCAAATATCATTGGCTTTTCATGGAATACTTTGGAGTAGGGGTGGGGTGGGTGGGGGTGACTAAATAATATATAATGATTTAAATTTAACCTGTTTAGAGTTTATTATCATATATGACATTTGCATGTGAGAGGTGTGAAATTGACTTTAAGCTGACTAATAAAGATGAAAGGATTCCCTTGATTTATGTACGTGCCACTTTATCTCAGTAGTGACACTTGTGTGAATTTTAACAATCTATCAAAAACAAGGTATTGCTGATAAAGAATGCCAGCAAATTACAAAATACCATGTAGGTGCAGTTAATGAAGTGACTGATGTAATTTAAGAATCATTCTGAAAAATGGAAAAAAAAACTCTTGGTTTTTCCCATTTTAAACATACCGGTAGTTTATATAACAGTAAATTCTTCATTTGTTTAGGGAATGAAAAATCGTAGTGGAAAAGTGGCCACCAATAGCCACCAGTCTAACTTGTTTTGCATATAACTTGAGGAGCAACTTTATGAGATGTTTTATGTATGGCTCTTTTTTTCTATTCATAAAATTGTCAAAGATCTTTAAAAAAAAAAAAGAAGATATTTCTAATGGAAGATGTAGAATCAGGAAGTACATATGATAGGTGTATTTCAAAATTAAGTGTTCTTGGAAAATCCTCATGTTGCAGGAACAGTTACCTCCCTTGACCAAGTCAAATTTACATGACATAATTCTCCCATACAGCTTTTGATTGTGATTAATTCATCTGTACAAAAAATTCATATTTCTGTCATGTTTCTGTGTAATATGTAATATTTTTCAAAGTAGAGCCTGTCTGATAGGTTAATGACCATAAGTAGGATTTTTAAAATAGGTCACTTTGACATACTTTTGAGTATCTGATAAAAGTTTTATCAGTAGAATATTGATACATTTATCCTGTGGAAGGATCTTTTTCCTCAAAGAAACCTTTTTTTTAAAAAAAGCATTTCCTTCAATCCGAGAAGAGCTCAGTACTTCCTTAGAAAAATTCTTAAAATATGACACTTGTCTGGGTCTCTTTTTTAAGTGAGGATTAACCAAGGGGTGTTTTTATTGGTGTGCATTATGAAAGTTTTAAGATTAAACTCCTTGCACCGAAAAGGGATTATGTAATGTCCTGCGATAAAGACCCAATGAGATTATGGGAAACATGACATACTGCACATGCTGCCAAACTGTTTATCTAATTTTCAACAAGATTTTTTTTAAGAATGAAAGTGAAGTTGTAAAGTATATCAGAAAACTTTATGAATGGCTTGGGAAAATTTTTTTGTGAGCAACTGCAAGGGGCTCCCATGAGGGTGATTACTTTTCCAGAAATAAAATTGTTGAGTTAACTTTATAATTGAAAAATTTCATTTTCAAAGCAAAAAAAAGGAGAATTTAGAATGAATCATTTTTTGCTGGAGATAATTCAGTCAGAGATAAGTACTATGACACTAACTGTGTAGATCATCAATACATGTAGAATTATAAGGGTACCCCTAGCTGAATAGACAAAAACAGATGTCGGGGCAGGGCACATTTCCTGTGCCAGCTTTGCCAGGACATTCCTCCGTTCTTTGTGTATTGGCAAATTTTTCATTCATTCTTTGTGTAGAGAAAGGAAAGCAGAGATATGATATAAGACACTGTAGTTATTAAACATCAACCTTAAAGCTCAGTTATAATAAATGACTGCACTCTGTTTTCAAAACAGGTGCTAAGAACTATGAAGAAAGAATTTATTTCCTTTAGTTTATTGTTATGCATGTACTTGTAAAGAGGATGAAATATAAGCCATCATGTAAGATGCTCTTGTTATAAATTTCTCTCAGAAGGGATTTAATAGAAAAACATTTGACACTAAGCAATTACATGGAGGAAGTTTTTACAATATAGTATGAAGAAAACGTGTCAACCATAATAAAGTGTGCTCATTTATTTCAAGGTGGCATGTAACATTCTATAATTGGAACTTAACATCCTCTTTCTGTTATATAAGTGTAATTTTTTGATAGCCTACTAAAAATATTATTTTTATTTAAAACTAAAGTTGAAAATGTTTTTAAAACTTATTTAATGTAAATCTTTAAAAAGTCTATTCAAAGGGCAAATCTTACCAGACAACAGGGGATGCTTGATCCTCCTTGGCAGCTGATCCCTCTGCTGGAATTTTGGGGGGGGGGGCAGGGATCCCATCTTTTATGCTTTCTTCATATATTTACAGTGGAACCTCATTTATCCGGACGCTTTGGTCCTAGTCAATTTGTCCGGATATGTGAAGCGTCCGGATATCTGAATTACCAGTTAAACAAGAATAAATAACAATAAAAAATTCTGTTCCGAAGAAAAATCGTCTGGATACTGAAGCATCCGGATATCTTCATATATTTATATTGTTTATAATTTTTTTTAAAGCATTCAATGTTTGTTATTTTCACCTTTTTCAGTCCTATTTAAGTTTAATATTTAGAGTTTACAGAGTGATCTACAACATGTTGGACAAGTATGATGTTTTACTTAATACACTTATTTTGCATTTATTAATTCAGCTAGCATAAATATGGTAAACCCTCAAGTCAACTACTTTTCAATTTAGTGTTTGCCAGTTTTGTTACAAGAAATATACATGTGAAATATGAAAGCATCGATCATTCGAAAGTTATGGCCAAGGTTAAATAATTATGGACAGACAGACATCAAAGACTGTATGCACCCAAATGTTTGAAATTGGGGTAAATTATGAGGTATACATGAACCAAAGTTTCAATGATGGTATGTCTGGAAATGCACACAGACAAAAAGGATCAAGGATCTATAGGAAAGGTCAAGGACATTTTAGTTTGTTGATTTGAAATGAACAGATTTCTTGCCCCATACCAGTGACTATAATGCTTATTTTAGTGTGTTTATTGTGGAAATTCATTTTGAAATATAGCTAAGGGCATGTCACCTAATTAGTGTAAGAGTGCATTACCGTAAATCTGGAAATTTTTGCTGTAGATAAATTTTTAGCAAATTTGCGAGTTCAT